GAATCATGAACAGAACCGATTGTTTCTGTTTAATATCTGATTAGAGAGAACTGAAGTCCTCGTATAGGTTGAAATGACCCGTCATGGCCTAAAATAAGAGTTCAGCGTTCCTGCCAGTTCTCAGGCCTGTGCGAGACCTGCTTTCAGGCAGTAATTCCTGTTTCTTCACTCGAGATGACCCCTACACACTTGTGGGTAAAAACAGTGAGGTTTCTGCCTTTAAATATTTTTAAATGCGTCTGACTTTTCCAGAATCTACTGGGGGATATTTTTTTCCTTGAAAACCAGGGTGTCATGTGACTTCTTCAGGCTTTTACCTTTAGCTTGACACCCTTATAAAAAATAAAAATGTAAAAAGGCTTTTAAAGAATTTCAGGGGATAACAAACAATGACATTGGTAAAAATAAAATTTACTGATAAGAAAAGTACTGAAGTAAAATGGCTCACAAAAATTGGGAAATAAAAGTACATTTATGAAGTATTAAATTTGCTTAACCAAACTGGTTCCACTAAACCGAGTTGAGTAAATTAATGCAAATTACTCTATTTGGTTTAGTGAAACCAGTAAGGTTCAGTAAATTCAACACATCCTTCTTTAGAGTGCATAAACCACTCCTTTCATCATGAGTTCTAGTCATACTGCATTTAAATTTGTAATTAACACCTTGTAACTAGGTGTTAAACTTTAAAGTAAAGAAGTAAAAGTATTATTTTTATGTTGTCATGGATTGTCAATAAATTCCAAAGATTTGCCATTAATAGACATAAAACACAATTTTTTAAAGATTTCTTCAAATTTGTTTTAGTCATTAGTTTAGGCCTGACAGGAAATGCTAAGAACTCAGCAGAAAATTATAATAATAATAATTATTATAATAACACTTACAATAATAAAGCTGGATAAATAAATCTAGCTCATTGAATAACAACAAAAAATGATGATTGTTTCATAAGTTTATGTTGAAAAACCTATTTTTTTTAGCTAAACCCATTTCTGTTTTACAAATCAGCAGCTTAAAGTGTCTATAAAGGTAATATACAGACGATGTGCATGTCAGCATACTGTATGTGTGCATATACAGTATTTACATATATGTAAATTTTTTGCAAGTGACAATTCAGTGGGTGAACTCATTGTTTAGGCCTTAATGAAATCGTGATTTCGAATAAAACAGAATGAAACAGAAGAATTGATTGTGTTTAGTGAGAGCTTTAGAGAAATACGTTTTTACTTGTATATCATTTTTTTAGCTTTACATGCATGTTTAAAATAAATAAACTAAAAAAATAACAACTAAAATGTAGTTTTGAAAAAAATTCTTTGAAATAATTTGTATTTTAAGTTAGTTGAGAGGATTTCCACCTGACTGTTCAGTGCCATGTTAAGGGAGATGTTTTTTTTCTCCTAAACACTTGCTTCACCCACACAGCTTTATCCAGCAAAAGTGTGTCAACACATTACTTCAGTTCAAAAGCCTGTTAAGAATAACAGCAAAATTTGCAGAGTATACATTAGTTGTCCAAGCCGCTCTTCACAAGAGCACTTGAGAGCTTTGAGTAATGTGGTCCCAAGAATCAGAGTGGAGTAAAGAGGGAAGCAGCCTCTTCAGGATCTTTTTCTCTTCAGATCGGCTCAGAGGACAGTGCTGAAATGTGTGGTGAGGCATCTCTGATGAGATATATTACCAACTCTTGTCCACAGATTCAGACTCAAGGTTTTCTTTTTCTTTTTTTCTATTCTTTTTTCCCCAGCATGTCAAAAAGAATCTTGAGTCTTGATCAAAAGGATTTGTGCACACACTACACGGTGTGCTGCCTTGGTCAGATACAAGAGCTGAACAGAAATTTAATGGAAATGCTGCCAAAGAAAGTTTTAAAGTTCCAAAACCTTCAGAAAAAGCCTGAAGAACCGCTGATCACAACCACTTTAAAATATTAGAAGAAAGTCTGGCTCCTCAAAGGCTAGGTATTAAAAAATTACAAGTGCGTTTTAAAAAAATACTGTATAAATGTATAACCATAAACAATGTGGTTTAAATTCAATAATTTATCTGTAAATCTCTGCTTGCAACAAGAACAAATGCATTTTTAGGTGAATTAGTTAAAGCCAAATTCCTTAAAGGAAGGCATTTCATCCACGAAGTTTGTGGGACGACTCTCAGCTACTACCAAACCAAATCCTAGCTCAATATCTATTAAAAAATGTTAAAGCCATTTTTGAGTTTATTATGGTTTATTATAGTGGTGAAGAGAGAAGACTTTAAAACTTATACTGTCACAAACATTCAGGCACGCACACACAAACACACACACGTTTGCACAGCTCTCTAATTGGGGACATTCCATTGACTTTCATTACATTTCTACAGCCTAACCCTGATCACAAACCCTAAGGCTAACCTCACAGGTACCTACCTGACCCTAAAACTAACCTAAATCTGGAGGAAGATGTAAAGGAGGCGTGAAGATGAGGCTTATCCAGGTTAGTGTTAAAAGTGGTTGTTTTGGTGTTGTTGAGTCCATTTTGATCCCTGGCCACTTATACTGTCACAAACATTCAGGAAAGCAATAATGTCACGACCCACTTTTGCTCTATAAAACTGATAGTTTGTAAATGTCTTGTCTTTGCAAGAAAAGGTTTATCGTCTTCTTTTGGCTTCTTCATCTCGCAGGGGTTGCCACAGCGAGCAAACATGCACAAAAGATCTGGCAATTGTTTTAAGCAGTATGCCGTTCCTGACACAACCTGGGTTTGAACCTCAGCCTCAGGATTACCACGGCAAGACCGTGACACTGACCACTGAGCTACCACAGCCCCAAGAAATTATCTTCAATTTCTGTATTCTTGTCTGGAGAAAGGAATTTGTTTTTCAAACCAAAAAATTTATTTGTTTTACATTTTTAGACAGCTTTTTCCTTAAATTCTAGCTACTAGGAGTCCTGATCTTGTTAGTAAAGCAGCTATAGAAACTCCATCAGTTGTGCTATTCTTCCGCGCTACTTCCGACGCGTGAACGCTGGCGCATCCTGACTGCCGCTGCTCGTCGGACTTTCTGTCGTTTTTGGCTTAATAAACTATTCTAATCATCCTTCACGGATCTTCTGCAGGTGGATTACTACGACAAGTTCCTGCTTCATCCCAACATCAACCATGTGGATTAATTGGATTTATCTGCTCCCCGCTCTGGTTTGGACCCTCCTGCTCCTCGACCACCACCTGGTCTCCGGCCTCCTCCATTACTCGAGACCAGAACTTCTCTGTCTACGCTTCCTACCAGATGCACCACCATCACCGCCACCACTTCCTCGGGACATCGCCTTCTAGCCTCGACGAAGATATATTCACCGTGGCTCCCGCCGCAGATTCTCCTCCGGCAAGCCCATGAACTCCGCCTGGTCTGACCATTCTCCACGCCACAACACCCGGGCCGCTAACAATAGCATGTTAGCTAACCTAGCTCAGTCGGCTAACCCTCCAGTCTCCTCCAACTCCTCCGCTGTTAACTTTGCACTTTTAAACATTCGTTCTCTCACTGGCAAAGGACAGCTCATTAAGGACCTTATCTCTCACCCTAAGTTGGATTTTTTTCTGCTTAACTGAAACCTGGCAACAACAGAACGACTTTTGTCATCTCAATGATTCAACCCCATCGGGGTTTGTTTACATCGCAAAATCCTGCGAATCCGGCTGCGGAGGAGGTCTCGCGATATTTCACCGCGAGAACTGGGAGGTCACTCCAGTTCACACACCTCCCTCCACCTCATTTGAGCAGACTGCGTGCTTACTATCCGGCCCTACCCCCACCATTGTTGCCACTATTTATCGCCCACCCAAACCAAACAATTCTTTCATTAATGATTTTGGAGCTTTTCTCGCCTACCTCTCAACCCTTTCACCCAACATTGTCCTGCTGGGAGATTTCATTATTCATACGGATGACGACAACAACCCTCTCACCAAAGACATTTCATCCTGT